ACGTGTATTATATGCCATATTTTTACTATAAAGTAAGCTAGAGAAAAGAAAACGTCATTAAGAAAATCATAAAGAAGAGAAAATACACTTGCAGGACTGTCTCGTATTTATGGAAAAAATCTACGTAGAAGTGGACACGTGCAGCTCAAACCCTTGTTGTTCAAAGGTCAACTGTACTAAGAAATTAGTCTTTGTTCCCAGTTCCTGCCACAGAGCTTCTGGGACACGTGAAGGGTGGGAGTGAGCAACGCCTCCTTTGTTACCCAGAACAGCCCCCTTTAGACCACACCTGAGTTTACACTACCGATGTATCTATTGGAGGACCCCTCAACAGCTTTGGGATGGGGCCGGTCACCAGGAAGACCAAGCCCCGATTAGGGTTTGGAACTTTCGGCCCCACTTCTACCTCCAGGGAAAGGAGAGGGGCCGGAGACCGAGGTCCATCACCAGCGGCCAATGACTCCATCAATCGTGTGATGCAGCAGAATCTCCATTCAAATCACTAACTGGGTCTGGAGAGCTCGCAGGTTGGTGGACGCATCCAGGCGTCAGGAGGGTGGTGTGCCCAAGGGGCCATGGGTCTCCACACCCCTCCCCCTCCTGTAATACCCCACACCGTGTGTCTCTTTCATCTGGCTGTTCCCGAGTTGTATCCTTTATAATAAGTTGGTGATTTACTATGTGAACTCTTTTTCTGGGTTCTGTAAGTTGATCCAGCTAATCATCAATCCTGAGAGGGATCATGGGAACCCCAAATGTGTACGTGGCCAAGCAGAAATGTAGGTAGTCCGGGCACTCCGTTTGTGGCTGGTGTCCCAAGTGGGGAACAGTGTCACCTGTCAGTTCTGATGCTAACTCTGGCGAGTCAGAAGTGAACTGACTTGTCGGACACCCAGTTGGCATTAGAGATCTGGAGAATTGGTGTAAAAAACACCAGCTGTTTGATGTCAGGGGAGGAGGTGGGGGGAAGACTTGCTTCCTCTTCTGCAACCAGCCAGAGAAAACCCTCTGCTTAAAAGCACCCGTGGAAATTAGGCTTGGCCCATGCAGAGCATCTCCCTGTTTTCAGGTCAACTGATTAGCAACCTTGACTGCATCTGCAAAATCCTTTAATCCCATTCTCAGGGAAGTGACCCCAGATGGTGGGGGTCAGGGGGCCATGGTGGAATCCCGCATTCTGCATGGGAGGAGCAGAATCTGGGGGGTTTGGAGAGACCTGCTGGAGATGGCAGCTTCTAAGAAGCCCACGGAGGGGCAGGGCACATGGCAGCCTCATTGTCAGCTGGGCTTCCGGGTGAGATGCTCAGTGGTCAGCAGCTTGTCCCGGATCAGGATGGTCGGGGTGGCACCGGGTATTCTGGGTCCTCCTGAGAGAGGTACGCGATTCCTACCAATATAAAGCTGCTCAGCACAGAGAGGATTTTGTGGGGCCATCCTGTTCCCCAACAGAGAGAAACTCTTCCTGGGACCTTCGCTGATTCACAGCCTGACACCATTCGCCCCTCCTCTGCTGGAGCAAGAGTCTCTGTGGCAAGAACTCGGCAGGAGTCTGTGCCAAGGACTGTGCCCCCACACAGTAACCACCAGCTGAATGAAGGAGGGAATGAGGCAATGAATCAGCAGCCTGCCTCCCACCCCTGAGCCTGGCAGCCAAGGGCCATGCCTTCCTCCCCACCAGGAGGTGGATGAGCGGCAGCCCCTCCCAGGTCCTGCTCACAGGGCTCTGAAGGTCTTTGCCGCCTGTTGGGCTGAACCGTGCAGCCCTGAGGTGTCTCCAGCAGCTTCCAGCAGCCACCTCCTCCCAGAATCTAGACCCCTGCAAGTAGTCCTGGCCCCTCGCGGATGCCGCTGGCCACACCTGCCTCTACTTGGAAGAGAAGTCTTCGGGAGACCGTCATACATACCTTCCTTAGCAAGAGAAATGAAATTATCTGCCAATTGTTTTCTAGAAGACACAGAAGGAAAGCTGGAGCTAGACTAGGACATAGGGCTGCTTACAAAGACCAAGTGTCACTTTGCCCTCAAACAGAAACTGAAGCCATGCCACAGTCGGGTAGGCGGGTGGGATCACTCCCCTCTCCAACCCTCCCCCCATTAAGCCAAAGTCTCTCTTCAGTGGCTGGGGAGGAATCATTCTCTTTGACCTTTGGGGGCAATGCACCCAAATGAAAAGGAGAGGAGCTTAGAAGACCCAACATCTAAGCTCAAGAACTTTGAAAAAAGCAAAAACGAAAACATGTTCCCTGAGCTGACCCCACAACGTCCCTTGGTTTGCCAACACCCTTGCTTTTCTCCTGCAAATTTTTTTTATCACCTTTTTCTCAAGTGGCTCTTCGTAAGCACCAGGTGCAACACTCACTGTGCTCATGCCGCTAAGTTTCATAAAAAGTATAACCCGCAGGACTGCAGGCTGTAAGCATACATGAGCCTCAAGGATGCATTCAGCCTCCCGTCCGTCTTACCAGGGAAGGAACGGAGGCTGCGGCTCCTGGTGTGGACAAGGGTCACCTGCCATAAAGAGGAGTCTGACTCACCCCCACCGTTTGGGGTGAGCACAGCTTGGCTTTAGGCCTGCAAAGAGCTGACATCTGGCTGCGTTGGAGAGAGAGGCCTTCCAAGTAGGGAAAGTGCCCTGACGGGATCCCCTGCTTCGGTGTGCATCCCGCAGCACAAAAAGACCCCAGCCCCCAAGGTCACTGAGGGACACGGGGGCACCCAACAGGACGCCGAGGAGAGAAGCAAGAGACTCAGGCAGGGAGAGACCAGCTTCTTAGAAAGTGCTGTGTGTGTTTGTGTATGACGGGTATGCACCCCTCAGAGGTACAGAAAAAGTGGGAAAGGATACACCAAAATGTGGGGATGGCCCATGACAATGCTCCTACTTCCTTCTTCCTTCCTCTCCCCCCTCCTTCTTTCTTGTATTTTACAGTTATCGTATAATGAATACATAAAACTGTAAGGAACGTACAGCGCTGTCTTATGAAAGTGGCCTCCCTTGCAAAGTCAGCGTATGCTGGGACCTGGATGGGGGTCCCAGTAGGTCAAGTGTTGGGTCCCGGAACCAGATGGCTGCGTCTTAAATCCACCGGTCCACTTCGAGCTCCATGATCTGTAGCAAATGCTTTCATTAACCTTTAACTATTATTGTCATTAACATTCATCCAGCACTTTCTAGACGCAGGGCATTGTGTCCAACAGTCTGTATGGATCACCTCAACATGTGTGTGATAATTAGCTTATCTATGCATTGCCACTGAGGGTTGTTGGAAGTATGAAGGCAATAATGTGTTTGTAAGCACTGTGCATTTTATTACCTGTCCTGTGGAGTATTTTATTTTAATAGCACAAAATCCCATTCATAAAAAAAAAAAAAAAAAAAAAAAAGGAAAGAAAGAAAGGAAGAGGAAGGAAGAAGAGCAGCGTGTTTGGGGTTGGCACTGTGTCCAAGCGTGCATTTTTTCTGCCGGCAAATTCTCCTAGCCCCCAGGGCTCCAGGAGGTGCCGTTGCTGTAGGTTCTAATCCAAGAAAGCCACATTTCTTAAGAGCTACTGGCTTAATGTTCTGCAGCGGTCAGTCGGCCGGCCGCAGGGTCTGCCTGCCTGCCCTGCTCTACGTTCTGCTAAATGTATTCATCGAAGGCTGCATTCTAAAGTCATTATGCCGCATCTGTGTTTGCTACAGTGTCATTTGCCAGGATGCAGACCCGACGCCACCCTGCAGGACACCACCCCAGCAGAGAGAAGTCAGTGCTCTGAGAAGCAAATAGGTAAAATATTGATGAAACTGGGGCACAAACACAGCTGAACTCTTTCCTTGGGCCTCCGTCTAATCAAGGGGGGGAAATGTCTTGGAGAGTTGATATATGTGAAACAGGATGCTTTCATTCTGGGAAGAATAATTTAGCTCCTACAGTCCTGTTTTCCTGTGAATGCTTCCAGGATTTGGAGAGAATTTAAAAAGTGGAGCCCAACAGGGTGAATCAGCCACCTGGGACTGCTAGTAAATCAGCAGAATTTTCTTGGTAGAAAAACAACACAGCACCCCGCCTTTGCCCAGAAGGCTCCCTGGCCTGCCGGGCAGCCTGCTCACAGCATGCCAGCCCCGTGCGCCTTTCCCTGGCTGGACAGGGTTCCGGTCAAGCACAGAGGCGCAGTCCAGACATCCTGGCCTAATAAAAAAGATTGGTTCACGCAGGACACTTCCCCCTGGCTGGTTCTCAAAGCAAGTCTTTGTGGGAAAGATTTCAATTCTTCTGCTCCCGTAAGTCTGTAAACGGGGTCGTGAGCAGCAGTGGCCTGCAGAACTCAGCGGTGGGCAGAGGGCCCTCAGAAGAGCAGGTAGCAGATGCTGACTGTGCTCACAGTCGCTCACCCCATTCGTGTGGACGCGTCTTCCCATTGTTGCTCAGATCTTTGAAGTTCTATCACAGCTATGACAAGTGATGATTCATACTTAAATGCAGTCATCATGTCATACACGGTATTAATACCGTGGTGACATTGCCATAAGCCCCATGCCCTTAAGAGGAAAAGGTTCCTGAGAGCATACTGCTACCACCATCCTCAGGGACCACAAAGGGTAGCGGCTGCAGAAGGCCTGCTCATTGTGCGGGAGGGCGCCGCCTGCATCCTGCAAGCTGTTCTGATAAGCGGCTGTCAGAAGGGAGGGGGCTGCGGGGAGCAGAGGGGGAGGGGAGGGAGAGGCCGCTGTTATCAGGCTGGAAGGCCTGCCTTGACCTGCTGCACTGATGTCTTATCTCAAGTATGCTCCTGTCTTGCAAGTTTAAAAATCTCCCTTAAAAAAGAGAAATGGGAGCAGGGCTCAAGTTCTGCGTCCCCGCCCCCACTCCCAGCGCCCCGGGGAGCCTGTAACTCAGCCCCACAGGAAGACGGAGTGGGTGCCATCCGGTCCCCGTCTGGGGGCTTCAACAATCACCTGGACCCCTGCAAACCACCTCCCCCTCGGACGGGTACCCCCTACCCTCAATAAAGAGAATAAGTCTGTTTCAGTAAGTTTATTGTAAAAAAAAATACTCAAAGCTGCAGCAGCATAATCCTTTGGAAACCGGAGCATCGACCCCGTCCGCTTTGAAACAGCGGTGCAGGCTGCTCAGTCCATCAGAGCTCCTGTTAACTGTCCGAGTCCAGGCCTCGCCCGCCTGGCCTCTCCCCTCCTTCCTGTCGAGAGCGCAGGCTGCTGAGTCACGCCTGCCCTGCCGGTCCGTCCTTCCCGGCCCCGTGGCCCACGGCACGCCTCCGGCCTTCCCGGGCAAGCAGCCGCTCCCCACACTCGCAGAGTCCCGGGCTGGGGGCCAGCCCGCCCCTGCCGCCGCCGCCGCCGCCGCCGCCGCCCGGCCCCTCCTGCAGGGGGCCGCCCCTCCTCGCTGCTCCCCACGCAGCACTCCGGTCCCGCGCCCTCCGAGGGCGCATCCACAGAGCCAGCCGCGCGCTAGGCGCCCCGGGGCGTCACCATGTCGATCAGACCAAGGCCCCCTCCGGGCTGTCACTCGGGGAGGGTGATACTGGGCACCCAGTCGTTGACGCTGCGGCTCTCCTCGCAGAACACGCTGAGCTTCTCCAAGGCGGGGTCCTTCCACGCGTCCTCATTGGGGTTCTGCGGGGAAAGTGCAGAGGTCAGCCTGGCTGGCCGCTGGCCGCTGGCCGCGGTGGGGCGACGCCGGGGCGGGGGCGACACTCACCGAAATGAGGATGCAGTGCAGGTCTCCCGGCGCGGCCGCCTCGTCGCCGGCACCCACGATCGCCGCCAGCCGCTGCACGTCGCCCACGCGCACGATGTCTATGTCGTTCTCGCAGCAGAACGCCTGGATCAGCGTAAAGTGGATCTGCAGCGCGATGTCGCCCTCGTCCTCCGCGTCGGCGGCCAGCACGCAGAAGGTCACGTTGTCGGGGTCCCTGCGCCGGCGGGGACCGGGTGGTAAGGGCAAGGCGGGAGCCCCGGGGGGGGTCCCCCGCCGCCGCCGCCGCCGCCGCCCCCGACCCCGGCCGCCCCACCCGGGGCCGCGTCCACACTCACACATTCAGGACTTTGGCGGACTCATAGACGCCGGCGGTGAGGCAGCCCTGGCGCTGCGCCGACAGCAGCAGCTCGTGCAACGCTTTCCCGGCGCCCTGCATCCTGCGGACGAGCCAGCGCGGTGAGCGGGGACCGGCCGAAGGCGCGGCGGGATCCCCCGCCCCGAGGACACACCCTGGGCGCCCCTGCCCGGCGCCCCGGCCCCGGGGACGCACCTCCGGTGCCCAGCTCCCACCCCGCGGCTCCCCATCCAGGCGGGCCCCGAAGGCGGCCGCCCGAGCAGCTGCAGCCAGGACAGGGACAGGCTCCCCACGCCCCGAGACGTCCGGCGCCCGGCGCCGACCCACCTGGCGGTGCTTTCGGGAACCGTGTCTTGGCCGCGGATTTCCTCCAGAGTCATGGTTCGGAGAGCCAGCAGCTAGTTATCCACGAGAGTAGCGAGCGGCGCAGAAGCGGCGGAGACGGAGAAGCAGGAGCAGCCTGGCGAGCCCAAGGCTGGCGAGTGCGCCCCGGTACGCCGCGCACCCTTATATAGGCCCGGCCGCGGCGCCGCCAGCTGGCGCGAGGCTGCGCGCCCATTGGCCGGCGCCCGCTTTCTGATGCAAATGAGGCGGCCGCCGCGGCTCGTGCCAGAAGGCCACGTGGGGAGGGGTGCGGGGGATGACAATGCCTCAAATCTGCCGCTTTTGTCGGGGTGTTACCAGGCAGACTGGAGCCTGCAGATTTCACTCGCCTTTTTGTTTTTTAAGTCCTTAAAAGGAAAAAAAAAAAAAAAAAACACCTTTCTTGCTAATAAGACGCTGCAGTTTTTGAAATGCCCCATTGGGGAAACTGAAGGTGTTTTTTTTTTTTTGCATTTATTTTTGTTGCTACCTTTCTATTTTTTTCTTAACTTTTAATTGGAAGTTTATAAAACTGTTGCTTTTAAACCGGAACTTAAAGTAAAAACACCCAGCGCGGGCTTTAGGCTTGCAAAAGGCCTGGCCACAGCCCCTTCCAGAGCCAGCAGGATCCGGGGCGCGCCGGCGAGGCCTCCCCGCACGCTCAGCGCCCGGACCCCGCCGCGCTGGAGGGTCGGAGCCGGCCTCCCCGCCCGCAGCCGAGCGCCGCGGGGCGCTGGGACGCGCGAGCAGATTGCGGCCGGCGCACGCGGCTCGTTTGCATTTCTATGGAGAGCGCACAATAGCAGAGGTCTGGCGTGTGGCGGTTTGCAGGAGGGACAATCAGAGGCTTTCTCTTCACAGCGGCACTGTCCACCTGCCGCAGGGTGGGGTGGGTAGGGCCCCGCCGCGCGTGGGGGTCGCGGGGCTGCCCGGCGCGTGGGCGTCGGGCCACGTGCCGCTCCTGCGCCCCTCGGTGCTCATCCCCTGCACGGGTGCCCCTGCCCCCGCGGCCCGTTTGCATGTAATTCCGTCCTCCCTCCCCTCCCCCGGCCCCCGGGCCCTTTCACCGGCTGCTGCACAGTCTACGCGCTGCGTGAGACCAGGGGGCTCTTGTCCCCGGAGCTTGAAGAACGCGGCTCGGAATCCCTTTCCCGGGGCGCCATCTAGAGGCTGTCCAGAAAAACTCGGGACACCCCCGCCCCCACTTGCACTGGCGTCTAGGGTGCTAGCCTCGGGCCTGCGGTCATCGAGAGGCCCTGGCGGGTCCGCTGAGCCCCATCTCAGCTGCGCGTTCACGGAAAAGCCAGAGGAAGGGCTGCGTAAATCCACCCGGGAAGGAGGTGAGAGGACAAAAGGAGACCCCGACCCAGAACTGATGGAGGCAGAGCCCGTATTTCTTACCCTATTTTGAAATGTTCGAATTACCTACATATACATATATAAAAGTTGTTTTCCAATTACAGCATAATAAAACAAGAAGATGTGAACAGACAGTGCTGTGATGTCACCATTTTGCACCCCGTAAGCCAGCACGTTCAGATCGTTTGCCCACGGAGAGCATCCCTTTGGCTGTCTGCATCTCTCCGTGCTACTGGGAAACTCGCGCTGGGGTGCCCTTCATGGCCCCTTTTCCTAGCAGCGGCCTGGAGCCTGGGCGGGACAGCGCGGGGCGGGGCGGGGGGGGGGGGGGCTCCAGGCAAGCCCAGGCTCAGCTGCAGGATGGGGACAGAGAGGGCCAGGTGAGCCGGCGTCTTGCGCCCTCCAGTGGAAGTAGAAGCTGCGAAGTCGGGGCCCCTTCCCGGAATCCCAGAAGCCGGTGTTCGCTTACCTACTGGCCCTGACATCCCAGGTGCACCTGCCACATGCATGGACCGCTGCTTCCTTCCTTTCTTTGCTAGTGGTTTAGGAAATGGTAGTGTGCCTGGATTGGATAAATATGTTTATTTCTAAGTGACTGAGGTGTAGGCATTGCTCTTCTTTATGTATCAGATTTTCTTAAAATATATTAGTTCCCGCCCCCCGGAAATGTTGCAAATAGGACTTATTTCACATTTTACTCCGCCCCTCCATTTATAACAATACAAATCTGCAGGCTCACGAGGTGTTAGGCCCTCCTCCTACAGGAAGGCCACCGGACAGGCCTGACTGGGGCGGGGGGGCGGGGTACAGGGAGCGGTATTTCCAGCTGGCGCTGAGCCAACCTGCAGGAAGAGGGCTAATTGACAACCCCTTGGGGCTGTTCTACTTTGCTTACATTTTTAAGGTATTCAGTTTCAGGAAAACCGCCTTTCTGACATAGGATATGGCTTCACATGGATTTATTAGGTCAGCCCGAAAGGCAGCCAAGCCCTCATCTCAGCTGAGAAAGAAACATTTTATCTGGAAGCAAATTCGGCCTCCACCAGACCCCACCACCACCTTGCAGTCTAGACAAATGCAGAAGCCTCCAGGTCGGCTGATTCCCGTCTGCTGAGCAGACTAAAGGGAGAGAGTAGGGAATGGCCAAACCCTGTCCGGGGTCACCTGCCCCAAGCTAGACGACACGCCCCCCACCCGCAAACTGCATTCAGCCGGTGTCTCAGCCTGCTGGAGCCCCAAGTCCTCGGATGCTGTGATGTCATCCAAACTCCCTGGGACTGCACCCCTAAACCTTCCCCTGGACCTTATTAATGCAGGTGGTAGTGAGTTTATTAAGCACACATCCTCGGGGACGCTCTGTTTGAAAAACTCTTTGGAAATGCTATTTAAGTGTTTTTGCTAACACATTCTTTCTCGTGGCCTGGCTAAAATGTTGGTGGAATTACGGCTCCCTGGGGGATGGAAGGAAGTGGCTTCAAGTAAGCAGGAAGGCTTAGAAGACATTCCCTGCTGCGGTTTCTCAAACTATTTGCTTTAGGAGCGAGCACAGCGTCGTTGCCTAGCAAGCCCACCGGAGGCTGCAAGACACGGTGGGCTGCTCTGAGCTCCGTGCAGCCTGCAGGTAGGTTCCCTTGGCCCCTGGCTTGTTTCAGGGACAAAGGCAGAACCACCTTTCAAAACCAGCAGCTCTTACATAAAAATCTGCATTTCCAGCTTCTCTTGGAAAATGGAGAGATTCGACCACCATGTGCCTGCGGTACCCCCCCCCACCCATCCCAAGTAACCTTCATCTGGGGGGAGACTCACGGGGACCCCCAGACTGGCAACTCCCCTGCAGTGCTCCCCACAGTTCCCACCACACCCCTCTGAGGACACCCAGCCCCTCTGCTTCTTCCCTACCTGCTTCTCCCCTGCGGGGCTTTTTGCAAACTTCACAAAGAAACAAGTTTGAAAAGCACAATAAAGGGGTCAGGTTCTTAAAAGATGAGCTCAAATTGGGTATGCACCATTTGTGTCCCATACTGGGCAGGACTGTACCTCTGATGTCGGCCCAGGGCTCTTGGAGCATCAAAGCATCCCATGGCTCCTCTTACCCCAGCCCCACGCCTTCGTCCAGGCCCCCCCCACCCCACCTGAGAGGCAGGGTAGGCCTCCTGGGTTTCAAGAAGAGTGTTGGTTTTTTTTTTCCCCAGGAACTCACAGAGGGCAGTGTGGGCATGACTTGGTGACAATACTAAATTGACTCAAAACAAGAAACTACATCTTTGTGCAAGACGCACACCTATGACCTAAAACCCAGCAGCGGCACTTCCAATGCGTCCCAGCATCTGACGGGCACAGAGCAGCGGCGCCCCCACCCACCGCCACACCTAGGGAGCTGTGAGGTCAGTGGATGGGGAGACTTCAGAAGGCAGTTGGGACGGGGACGGGAAACCGAGAAGGGAAATCCCCAGAGCGCAAGCCGGACACCTGTGGTCGATCCCTGTGTCGAGAGGGGTTTCTGGAAGGAGCAGGTACTCCTGGCTTGGTAAAACCCCCGAAACCCCTCAGGAGGTGGGGGCAAATCATCCCTGCGCTTGCCACTTTTCCCACCATGAGTCAGCAATGGTGTGTGACACATGTCATAACCCGGCGGCTCTCATTGCCACCACAAACCCCCCCACCCCCGAGAAACCACAGATGTGCTGTCCTTCCCGGCGTGGCTATGCACCAAGTCTTCTGAGCCTGGGCTCCCCGCTACGAAAGAAAGTTCTGCCCTTTGCCTTTCATGAGCCTCACTGGGAGTGTCTAAAGGTCACACCGGGTCACCATTTGGCCCACACTCGTTTGGTTTGGTGGGCAGTGTGCTAAGATGGCTTGCAAATTCAGTCTGACTTGTTTGTGTAGGTGGGAGTGGGTGGTAGCTGTCCATGTCACCCAAGACACATCCCAAATGTCACATTGGCCTGCTGGCAGGCTGAGCCCCGTCCAGCCTCTGTGGGCACTCGATCTGGCACTTCAGCCTGTCCTGTAGCAGCGAGGGGTGAACTGAGAGGCTGTGGTCGCCCTTCTGAGGTCGTTAACGGACAACGTATGAGAGGCGAGTAGAACCACAGAACTTCCGAACCGAAAGTCCTCCTTTAGGTTCTGAAAGATAATTCAGAGTAAGTGTCTAAATACCCAGAAAAGGGAGCATGACATTGGAGGTGCGGTTAGCAGAACAGGCTCAGAGATGGGTTTTGCTACTTACTTAGCTTTGACCTTGAGCAAGAAGTTAGTGCATGATTAAAATTGTAAGGGGAAGAGTCCCTGCTTGTCGACCCATTAAATCTACTCTTCTTAAGTTCTCTGAAAGAAGTGAATTCCCTGGGGCGCCTGGGTGGCTGGCTCAGTGGGTTAAGCATCTGCCTTCGGCTCGGGTCATGATCCCGGAGTCCTGGGATCGAGTCCCACATCGGGCTCCTTGCTCAGCGGGGAGTCTGCTTCTCCCTCTGCCACTCCCCCTCCTTGGGCTCTCTCTCCTTCTGACAAATAAATAAATAAAATCTTTTTTTAAAAAAGTGCATTCCCCAAATGTGTATTATAAGGAAATGTTTGTTGCAACATTTCTTCCTAATACTGGAAACCGGGAGCCACCATGGGGGCCGGTGGTACATTATGGGGTAGCCCTAAACAAAACCCATGTGACCATAAAAGATATTCTGAAGAGTATCTTGTGGCAGGATAAAGCCTCAGACACAATACGGAGAATGGTATAATTCTGGGAGTGTGTAAGCCCTTGGCGCCCATGACTCTCCCTACACACAATCTCTAAACCAAAGTCCCGGCTGGATGGT